CACACTCATTAGCTTCCTGAATCTACCCTGATGTGATTCTTTTTTTTTTTTGGAGAGATTTTCACTATAGGGCACGTGCGCTTGCCAGACAGAGACATTAGAGACAGAAAGCGAGAAATCACCCCCCAGGGGGGATGGTCACACCGCAATCCATTCTCCTCCATTCTCCTCTCGGGATCTTGGGCACGCACGCACACGCACCCAGCTTGAGTTTTAAGCCACCGGGTCCGGGACGCGAACTACAGTCAACTAAGTGGGAGTCCAGTGATATAGCCATTACGCTAACTGCTGATTCCCAGCCCTGATGTGATTCTTGAAGCTGCTATTCAAGTTTCCGTTTTCCGGGTTCATCTGGCATGTCCTATGGAGCATTTTCACCTTGAGGACATGATCTGGTGTCAGACCAGGTATCACATTTAAGCTGTCCTGCCTCCTTTCCATCCTTTACTCTGAAATGTCCCTACGACCTTTGTCTCTTATGACGTTATTTTTTTTAGAGACTGTAGTCTCCCCATCCTGCCCTTGCTTTGTCATAGAAACTTTCTCATTTTGTGCTTTTTTGGGGGGAGAGATTTTCGCTATAGGGCATGTGCACTCACCAGACAGACAGGGAGAGACAGAAAGCGAGAAATCACCCCCCAGGGGGGATGGCCACACCACAGTCCCTTCTCCTCCATTCTCCTCTTGGGATCTTGGGCACACACACACGCGCACCCGGCGTGAGTTTAAGCCACCGGGTCCGGGACTCGAACCGCGGTCGACTTCGTGGGAGTCCAGCGACATAGCCATTACACTAACTGCTGGTCCCTCATTTTGTGCTTTTTTGACATGTCTTTTGTTTGAATTAAGGCTGTACTTTCTCAGCTGGAATGCTACATTGGTGATGGGAGGTCCATCTGTCTCTTGTTGAAGATGTAAATTTAAAAAAAAAATTTTTTTTTTAATTTTTATTGCCAGAGAGCACAAGGACTCACCAGAGAAAGAGAGAGATAAAGCTCCCTTTCATGGGATGTGGTCATGCTGTAATCCTTTTGTCCTCCATTTTCCCATCCCATAGGATTTGGGGCACACCTGCACATGTGCCTGGCACGTTTTTTGAAGCCACTGGGACCAAGACCCAAACCAGAGCCAACCAGGTGAATCTGGCTTCCCATGCATAGTATTTAACTGCTACACCGTGGGGCTGACCTGAATTTTATTTTACTTTTTATGAGGTGGTGGGAGGGAGAAAAAGAGGGAAAGGTTTTTTTGGAGAGGTTTTTTCTTTGCTATAGAGCGCATGCGCTCACCAGAAAGACAGAGACAGACAGAGAGATAGAAAGGGAGAAATCACCCCCCCAGAGGGGGATGGTCACACTGCAATCCCTTCTCCATTCTCCATTCTCCTCTCGGAATCTTGGGCATGCACGCACATGCACCCGGTGTGAGTTTAAGCCACCAGTCCGGGACTTGAACCGCAGTTGGCTACATGGGAGTTCAGTGACATAGCCATTACGTTAACTGCTGGTCCCAAGAGGTCAGTGTTATTGGCGTTCTTCTGCGGATGCGGAGGTCCTGTCTGTCTGATCTGTCACTGGCGTGAACTTGTGAATTCTACTTTTCCAGCAGTGGTTTGTAACTTCCTGTTGAGCTTGGTTGTTTCGGTGTCAGATGGTGCAGGTCAGCCAAGGAGCTTGTCTTGTTGCTAACTTCTATAGCTCTGAGGCACTGCCTCCCTTCTGTGGTGTTGCCTCGTTTGGCTGAATCGTTCCCTGCCTCCTGGGACAGGGTGCTGCCTCCTGGGACAGGGTGCTGCCGCCCTTCCCTTGGAACCAGCCGCTTCTCCAAGGAGTTCCGATGCCGTTCTGAGCTCCAGGTGCTTGACCTGCTCCTCACCCCGGTAGTCTCGACTTCTGGGCTGAGGTTGTCTTTTCTAGTCCGTCTCCAAGTTCCAGAGGAGCCAGCCCTGAGCGGGCCCTGTGTGTCCCCGGTCTCTCAGGGTTCCTTCTTGGGTATTTGTTATCAAGGGTGCTCATTATCAAGGAAGTCATGGTTTCCCTGTGGCTGAATTCCCTTTCAGTTTAGCTATAGTTCTAACTCTTTCTCTTCCTTTCGACCATCAGTTTCAGACATCTAAGTGAGGTAGCCCTTGCTACAGGGGAGTGGGAAATGTTGATCAGATCCTCCGCGATTCCTGTGCCTCGTGTTTTCCCTGCACTTTGGGTGGACGTCCTAACAGAGCAGCTGTCCTTGGTCAGACACCCCAGCGTGCTTTTCCCTTCCGATGTTTCCACCCCGACCCTCACAGGTGCTCACTGTTTCCATCTGGCCGTTCTCTGGCCTGTCCTGACCCCTGGCCCGCCTGTCCGCACAGCCTTCCCACGTCTCCATGCTGTTCCTGATGCTGCTGCTGAAACCCTTATCCCACCCTGCGACTGCCTGTAACGGGAAGACAGAAAGAACCATGACAGGTCCAGAGCCCTCAGAGGGCTGCACTATGTGGCTGTTGGCTTTCCATGGAAGCCTCTTCCCAGCTGCTGTGGACATGTCTGTGGCTGCCTTCGTGTCCACAGGCTAGTCCGAGTAACTGTGCAGTCCACATGGAAGCAGGAGCCCTGGCCTGGGAGGGCTCCAGGTCTGGAACAGCACACACAACTTGTCACTTAAAACTAACTGTTCTCCTGGGCACACTCTGAGAACAGAGGAATCCACACCCATCGTGTCTTCCTGGAGAACTGTCTTCTGACACTGCTGTATTTGTGGGTGTGGACGTGCACCCGAAATAGCCATGGGGGTTGCAGCAAGGACCACAGTACAGGGCATTGCATGGAATTGACTCTGGCCAGAAAATATGCAAGTCGCACCTGTAATTTTCAGGCATGACTGATAGGCACCCCCAAAAAGAAGAGTAAGCAACATTAATTTTTTTTTTGAGAGGTCTTTGCTATAGGGCATGTGTGCTTGCCAAAAAGACAGAGAGACAGGGAGACAGAAAGCGAGAAATCACCCGCAGGGAGATGGCCACGCTGCAGTCCTTTCTTCTCCATTCTCCTTTCGGGATCTTGGGCACGCATGCACACATGCCTGGCATGAGTTTAAGCCACCGAATCCAAGACTCAAACTGTGGTCAACTGCATAGGAGTCCAGCAACGTAGCTATTATGCCATCTGCTGGTCCCTGAAATGTATTTTAATAATACATTTTATGTTGGTCCAGTCTGATGACACATTCAGGAGCATACTTAACTGCACGCTGGGGCCACATGGCTGGCCACATGACCAGATCCCCAGTGGGCTGATCTGAAACATGCCAGGGCATGATATGGGCCCCAAATCTTGAGGAGATGGGGCACTGGGGAAACGGGGTCATGGTGTGATAAGACCCCGTCGAGGGTACGCCCTCCCTCCTCCTCATCCTCCTCTGTCTCACACACACTGTCATGAATAAAATAAACTTAAATTTTAAAAATTTAATCTATTACACTCAGAATGTAATCTTTTGAATACAGAATCAACAGAAACCATTGTGGAGCTATTTTGCCTCCCTTCTTTGGCATAAGTCTTTGAAATCCCAAGTGTGTTTTCTGCTTATGGCATGTCTGGATTGAGACCAATCACACTTCAGGGGCTCAGCTGCCCTTGTGGCTCGCGGCTCACGTTTCAGGTGGCACAGGGCTAGATGAAGCTGCCGCATCCCATAGACAGGGTGAAGTGGCAGCGAGGGGTCCTGTTCCATGGCTACCCGGCAGCTGTGACTCCAGGCTCTGCCCTTTTCTCAGGACATGGCTGCTCCCACCACAGGGAGATGCGCTTGCACAGGGGATTCTGCGTGAGACTTGGGCGAACCCTGTGAATCTGCAGAGCCTGTCTTTATCCTCTGTGACTTCAAACTGCCGACAGGAAGCTCCTTCTCCAAGGGGAAGCTCAGCCATGCCTTCCACAGGTCCTGCAACTGGCTCCAGGAACAGTTTTAAGAAAACGAGGTTTATTTAGTGAGAGCTGCTTGGAAAAGAAACAGAACACAGCTCAAGTAAGACTTAAAAATCAGCGAGGTTACGTAATGACATGCCATGTGGGCGAGGGACCTCCATTCCCCTCTGTGGGCCCCCATGGCCCCCACATCGACGCTTGGGCTTCCTAAGCACATGGTGACCACTCCCCAGAGTGAGTGTTTCAGGAGTGGCAGGAGGAAGCTGTTCCTTGGGAGTCACATGGCCTCACCCCTGCTGTCCTCTGTGTTGGAATAGTCATAATCAAGCCCCACCTGGGCTCTCGGGCAGGGACACAGGCCCATGGCTGTGATGAGTGCGGTGACATGTATACACAACTTTGGACCATGTTGCTGTGTTTCCTAAAGTCTGCAAGACTCAGGGAGCAGGACCAGCAGTTGGCATAATGGCTATGTTGCTGGCCTCCCATGTAGTCGACCATAGTTCAAGTCCTGGACGTGGTGGCTTAAACTCACACCAGGCATGTGTGCGTGTGTGCCCAAGATCCCGAGGGGAGAAGGGAGGAGAATGGATTGCAGTGTGGCCATTCCCCCTGGTAGGTGATTTCTCGCTTTCTGTCTCTCTGGTGAGCACATGTGCCCTATAGCAAAATCCTCTCCAAAAAAAAAAAGACTCAGGGAGCTGTCTAGGGAAGTGGACTGGGCTAGAAACCCTAACCCCACTATACTTTAAAAGGCAAGTGACCAGGCTTGCCTGTCAACGTGTACTGAGGCTCCATTGAAGTTTTAGACAAAGACCGGGTTTCCGATGCAGAGGATTCTCTGCATTTCCTCAGCTCCCCTCAGTATCCACTCCACTTTTTCCTTGAGCCTCTCCCGTGTGTCCTGGATAGAAAGTGCTGTAGGGCGTGAGAAGGCCAGAAATAGGTCAGAGTGAGCCCGGCTACGTGCTCATGCTGGACACGCGGAGTGGAGGCCTGTGCACTCAGGTGGTCCTGAGACCCGGTCAGCCCCTCCTCACAGAGCTGAGTGGCTGCAGCAGCTGGAAGAAGTGTCTGACGCTGTCCCCACAGGACCTGCAGGACTGCAACAACGAGCTACAGGCTGAGCTGGATGGCCTGCGGGCACAGCTGCCCGAGAGACTGCATAGACGGCAGCCGCTGGACACGGCCCAGGAGGTAGGAGCTCTGGGAGGGGTGGGTGCCGTATGGAGATGGCCCTCTGGCTGGTGTTTGCACAACACCCTAGAGCCCAGAGGTGGGGGGGGGGCTCTGCATTGGGGTAGAAATGGTGGCAGGTATGATGTCATGACTCAGGGAGGTACTGCCATCCTGCAGGGATGTTTCTAAGAGGGCTCCAGGGAGAGGCCTGGGACAGCCCAGCAGTCACAGAGAGAAGGGAGTGAAGCCCATCTGGTGGTGGACCCAGGCCTGTGTCCAACCTGCCTCAGCCTGGGCAGTGACTGGCCGGCCCAGGCTGTCCTTGGGCCTGAGAGTTGTTCCTCTGACAGCTCTTCAGATAGGAGAGAGCTGGACAACGTGAAGTGCATGCAGGGCTTCCTGGTACAATGGCAGGCAGGGCTTATGTCGGCTGCCCCTGGGTGGCTAGGGGTCTCTGCAAGTGGGGAGGGGCTGGGCACTGAGGGAAGGGCCCTGCCGGCTATGTGCAGAAACCAGGCCTTGGACACCCACATCTCAGCCCTGGCACTGGCACAAGCTTCATGAGCCCCCAGGACCCCACGCTGAGCTGTTCATGGGTCCTCCTAGACTACAGATGCCCTGACTCCCCTGAGGTTGCTGTGGCCCTTTGAGGGTCGCTGGCTGGTCGCTGTCCTCCCTAGAAGTGCGTGCTGAGCAGCTGCACAGTCTCTGCTTATTCGTGCAGTGACATGTGAGGGGCATGGCTCTGCACCCTGTGCAGCCGTGGGGGCCCATGGCTCCTCTTGATTGTGCTCATGGATGCCTCATCTCCTCGGAGAGCATTTGGCTCCCATCTGTAACCCCTGGAACATTTGGAGCTCATGTTGCCTAAAAGCTGTTTACTTAAGGAAACAGAAAAAATAAAAAGGTCCTAATAAACTCCATAGGGAGGCCACCAGGTAGTGTGGTGGTTAAGGATGCTGGACTTCCACATGGCCAACTGCGGCTTGCAACCAGGATCTGGTGGCTTTCTTTCTTTCTCTCTTTCCCAATCTAGTCAATTTAAAATAAAGTTAAATAAAATATCTCTTTTTAAAAAAAATGGGGGAGAGAGTCGGGGCAATAGATGGTCTGCCGGTTAGAATGTTAGACTCCCACATGGCCAACCGTAGTTCAAATCCCAGACCCGACTTGCTTTTTCACTTTCCCTTTCTCTTGCTCTCTGGTCAGATTTTAAAATAATGGTAAATAAAATAAATAATTCTTCAGAATAAAAGACCCAACGGGGAACCTTGAAGAGATCCTCTAAGGAGAACCTAGTGGGGTTTCTGTGGATATGGTTCAACTCCCAGGGACTCCTAGGACAGCACCCCCACCTGCAAGTCCTTTGTTGGAGTCAGAAGGCTCTGGAGCCCCACAGCCCTGGCAGCCAGACTCACTAGGAAGCTTCAGGAGAGAACAAGACCCTGTCACTCTGCACCCCAGGTCGTAGGGCGGTGGGGTGTGCAAATTCACATCCCTGATTGAAGATTGTAGGTGGCCAGCCTAGTGAGATGCAAGCCTGGCCCCAGGAAAAGGGCTGATTCCACCTCCCTGCACACGCAGTTCTTGTCGGGAGCCATTAGCCTTTGGCCCAGGAGAGGCTCAGTGAGAGGTTCTCTGTCCCAGGTTGCTGGTCAAGAAAAGCTTCAGGTCATTGTCAGTAGAACCGAGGCCACCTTCCAGCCAGAAAGTGTCTCTTCTCTTCTGCCTCCACCATCTGACCACAGAGAATCAACTGGCCCCTTATAAGGAGAGTTCCTTGCTGCCATAGGGGACATCGGGACAGTAGCGTCGTGGCGGAGGGCCATGTGCACTGAGCTGTGATGTACACTAGTTGAGACCGTTGCTGCTGGCACCAGCCCCCTGTGGCCCGTTTGGCCAACCTGGTGGCAACTGCTGGTTGCCAAGGCAGTGAGATGATTTCTTTCCTGATCAGAGCCTGACATCATTAGTGTGGCCTGCTAATAAGACAGGACCTCTAGGAGAGGGGGAGCCGAACCACACAAACTTAATGGCTAAGCTCTGTGCTCTGTGTGTGAGCGCCTGCACACACCATCCCCAGGTCTGCCAGGTCACACTGATCCTTGTCTTCTCTCTTCCTTTGGGTGCCTGCATCACCAGGGAGTCAATGTAGGGAAGATGTATCATTACAGCCCTCTTTTAGGGGCTTGAAGGGGCCAGGTGAATCTCAAAGGCAGCCCCCTGCTCTGTACAGTCTGTCCTGGCGACAGCTGGACTGGGTTCCAAGGAGCGCACACGCCGATTGCAGCAGGACCTTGTGGCTAGCACTGCCTTCCTACTGACGGTGCATGTGCAGGGTGGTGCTTTGTCCTTGGGTGGTGAAAGGACAGCTGGACGGTGTCAGACTGGAGAGTTTGGGAGGGACCGTGGCTTCCTCAGATGATGCAAGCAGAAATGTCCTCTTGTTCTCAGGCAGCCTTTCCTTCATGGGTGAATCCAGTCCAGCGAGCCTGGAGACAGAGATGGAGATAGAGCAAATGAAGGAGCTCAGAACCCAGCTGGAGGCCAAGGTCAGGGGTGGGCGGCCTGCCCTAGGAGCTCTGCCTCATAAGGAGACCCCTTGGGAGGGGGGTGCAAAGAAAATGGACATTCTGCCCCAGCTCTCTGGAAGGAGGCAGGATGCAGGAAGGCCTAGTAGTGGGGAGGTGTCACTGGGGTGCCCCACAGGGATACCTCCTTGCCTGCAGTTGGAATTCCAGTTCCCAGCTTTACTCGGAGACCTTGGTGTCTGTCCTTGTAGCTGCTCGGGGGCTTCAGGCCAGGACCACTCAGACCAGGTCTGTCCTCTTGGGTGAACTTGTCTCCCGCTATTTTTAGGTCGTGGTGGGTTTTTAGGGGCAGCATCCATGACTTGTTACATATGCGATTCCTCAGAGCGGGGTGGGATCATGCCCTTGTGCACCCTGGGTGGATTGGGGCTCCCAAGGCCCTTACACACCTGGTCCCAGTGGCATTCCTTCCAACAGGGCCTCTGGGGTTCAGAGCCTCCCCACTGGACTTGCAAAGTCCCCCTAGTTCTCAGTGCTGTCACGCCACTGCCCTCCTTGCACTGCCTGGCCAGACGCCCAGCCCCCTCCTATTGGACCTGCCTCACGGGGATCACGTGGTGTGCAGCCAACACTCGGGCCCTCGGGAGCATCCAGTCACACGTGGGGGTGGCCCCCTTGCACAGATGCTGGCACCTGTGTGGCTGGGCGTCAGCCCCTCGGCTTTTAGGCCCAACAGCTTCGTATACCTGCATCGGGATGTCGGCTGCATCTCTGGGGCTACCTGGCTGACATGACTTTTGTGTCTCCCTTAAGGTAAATTACTACGAGAGGGAAATCGAGGCTGTGAAAAGAAGCTCTGAGAAGGAGAGAAGGGAGATGGAGCAGGCCCACAGACTCGAGGTCCGGGTGCTGGAGGACCAGAAGGCGGACCTGGAGGTGCTCCACACCAAGTCACAGGAGGTCATCCGGGGCCTGCGGGAGCAGCTGCAGGACACGACCCGCAGCCCTGAGCCAGTGGGGCCGGGCCGGGCACAGTGCTGCGTCCAGGTGCTCTCGGGCCTGGCCCAGCAGCTGCAGGAGGAGCTGCACCTGCGGCACCAGCGCCAGCTGCAGCAGATGAGGTCAGTCACCTCCTCTCTGCAGTCCAAGTCTAGGGCTTCTCACCAGGGCCCGGGTTTGAAGGTAGCTTTCTGGAAACTGCAGTACCCGCTCACAGGGAGGTTGTTCGCTGGGCAGATGAGTGAGGGCTGGATGACCAGGTCATTGCATAGGGTTTTTTTGCTTTCAGATAAAGATGCGGGGCTGGGATGAGCAGATGGCGATCATGCTAGACTCCCGCATAGTCGACTGTGGTTCGAGTCCCAGACCCAGAGGCTTAAAATTCACACTGGGCACGTGTACGTGCATGCCCAAGATCCTGAGAGGAGAATGAAGAAGGGATTGTGGCTTGGCCATCCCCCTGGGTGAATTTCTCACTTCCTGTCTGTCTGTCTCGTCAGTGAGCAGAGACATGCCCTATAACAAAATTCTCTCTAAAAAAAAGAAAAGGTGGCGGGGGAGGGGACGGCCCTGAAGCATAGCAATTAATGGTGCCGGGTCCCACATAGTCAACTGTGGTTTGAACCCGGGCTCCTGTGACTTGAGAAACATGGCAGGAGCATGTGCATGTGTCCCCAAATAGGAAAGGAGAATGAAAGAAGGCCACAGCGTGCTCACATCCGTGTGGAGCTGTCTTACTCTCTCCGCGAGTGCACCTGCCCTTTGGTAAGAGGAAAGAGGTGCCAGAGGATGGTGTAGTGGTAACACGGCTGGACCCCATGCCCAGGTGGCAGGGTTCTGGGTTTGCAGCCCAGGCCCTCCCTGCACCCCAGTTCCCACGGGCCCAGAGCCACGTGGCTGAGGCTGAGAGTGGATCCGTGTGAGGACCCTGTCGAGAGTACCTCTCTGTCTCTTTCTCTGTTTCTCCCTTACGGAAGAAATGAATAACCTTTTAAAAAATGAAATGTGTATTGAGTGGAGTCTGGGCTGTGAAACAGTTTGCCATGTGGTTTCAAACTCCGTGTTCCTTCCTCCTGCCTCAGTGTGGCTGGGAGCAAAGGCCCACAAGTCATTTGTCATTTAATGTCACATCCTCCCTTCCAGGACATGGTGGGGGAGCCCATGGAGAGTAGAGAAAAGTCCAAAAGCCCAGAACAGCAGGAAGGACCACTCACTCGGGTTTCTGATGTGCTGGTAAAAACTAAAAGGTTGCACAGAAAGAAAAGGCTATCTGGGAACCTGAGAGTGGTATTCTGTGACAGTGTTGGTTACGTGAGAAATGACCACATCCTCATGCCCTTCCTGTCATGTGAGCCTGACCGACTAGACTGCACACCTCGTTATTGGACACAGTGCCAGCCAGCTGGGCTCGCTGTCCCGTGGGAACGTTGGGCCCGCCCCCGGCTCAGATGAAGATGGCCCCTCCACCGGACAGGACCAAGGCCTCCCACTGGCCAAGACTGAGCAGATGGCCGAGGCCAAGGAGTCGCCATGTGGAGGGTTGCTGAGGGAGGTTGGCTGGGCCCAGAGGTTGGGGTCGAGTGGGCATGACCTCTCTGCCACACCAGTAGAAGGTGGCCCTGTTGTGGAGGTCATGCCCTCTGACCTGGATGAGGGAGTAGGGTGGCTGGAAAATGGGACGTGATGAGGAAGAATTGGAGCCTTCCTCTCTCCCCTCCAAGGTGGCCCTAGCGGAGTGGCCCTAGACCAGCAAGGGCTTGTGGAAGACTGTCCCTGTCATGGAGGACTTGTCATGTGCTTCCCTGAGCTTTAAGCTGTTTTCTCGACACAAGAGCAGTGGTAGAGACTCCACAGAGCCCCTCTAGACCCACGGGGCAGCAGAGGGACCGGAGTCACCTTTTAGCCGTGTGTACCTGGCCACCTGCCTGAGGCGTTGTGGGCCCACAGCCTCTGGCCCCTCACTTCTAGAGGAAACACTTGCTGCCCCAGCTCGCAGTCATTCTTCTGTGTGGGGCTGGAGCCACATGTAACTGGTTTCATGGACTCCGACTGCTCTGGCTGGGAGTGGACAGCATGCTCTTCCAGGACCGGCCAGCCCTTTCAGGCCCATGCTCCCACCCAGCTCTCCCCTTGCTGCTGTGTACAACTCTCAGGGCAGTTTTGCAAGTGGCTGGGTTTGCCCGTCCCACTCAAAGTGCCAGCCGGTGGTGCTCACTGCAGCAATGGGCGTGTCCCGTACTGGCTCTGTCCAGTGGACAGCCATGCTGTGGTGCTACGGAGCACCTGAAATGTGGTCCCTGCAGCTGGGGACTGCGTTCAGTGGTCCCACTGTAACACCTTACATTTGTGCGGTTACAGTAGGCCAAGTATGTAGAACCCCACCCCAACATGAGCCGGCCCTCTGCTGGACTCTCCAAGGAGGGTCCTGGGCAGATTGAATCCGGGGCACAGGAGAAGTGAGAAGAGGTCAAGCAAGCCACTGCAGAGAGAGGAATTACACTCAAAACTAGAGCTGAGGGACCCCACTCCCCCAAGGGGCAGAGTCAGCCGGGCTGCAGGGCCCAGTGCAAGTGGTGCATCCTGTTTCCACAGGAGAGAGGTAGAGGTGGAGCTGAGCCACCAGCTATTGTGGATGGAAGCCCAGCACGCTGCCCACTGCGAGAGCCTGTCCCTGCAGCACCAGCAGGACAAGGACTTGCTGCTGCAGGAGCACCTGCTGCAGGTGAGCGAGATGGCAGAGCAGCTGGGCCTGGAGAAGGCACGTGGGGACGAGCGGGAGAAGGAGGTGCTCTCACGCTGTGCGAGGCAGCAGCTGAAGCTGCAGGAGCGGATCAGTGAAGAACAAGCACAGATCTGCAGATCGCTCACCCTCGAGAAGCAGAAACTAGAACTCTCCTACAGGAAGCAAGTGCAAGGGCTGACCCAGGAGGCTGAGGCGCTGCGGGCCCTCCTGGCAGGCACCCACAGCCCTGCACCCCTCTGTCCAGGTGGAGAGGAGCTGGCCGAAGGTGGGCTTGGCCCTGGGCAAGTCAAGTGCGAGGGCATGCTGGGCCAACCTTGCTGTGTGGACACTGTGCAAAGCCCAGTTTCAGCCCCTACCCCAACGTCCAGAGGACCCTTGGAGAGCCTCAGTCTCAGAGAAAACTGTCTGGGTTTGTTTGACTCAGAGGACATGGATTCTGCCCCCTCAGAGAGGTGGTCACATGGGCACCCATGTGGGGTGCACAGAGGGACTGCCCCAGAGGTTCCAGTGCCTTCTGCCAGTGGTCCAGGGAGCCTGAGCCAGCCTGCAGGGCCTGAGCTGCTCCTGGGAGTGCAGGCTGACGACATGTCACCTCAGCCTCAGAACTCGGAGCCACAGTCCAGGTCAGCTGCCTCGGGCAGGGGAGAGGCCAAGAGTCCCAGGGAGCCAGCCCTTGTAAGACAAGGAGAAGCCTGGGAGGAGCAGGCCCACTGTGAGAATGCTTTGGAGCCTGGGCTGCAGCACCACAGGGAAGCTGCCAGGAGGGGGCCCTCGCTGCCTCACCCCGTGCTCACAGACCCCTGGGGGGCCGAGCAAGAGGCCAAGGCCCAGATGGCACTGGAGAGAGAGAAGGAAGACATGAAAACCAAACTGCTGCATCTGGAAGATGTCGTCTGGGCTCTGGAGAAAGAAGCAGATTCGAGGGAGAATGAAAGGTTCGGTGTCTAGCTTTTCTTTTCTTTCTTTCTTTTTTTTTTTTTTGTGAAGAGGTGTTTGCTATAGGGCGCGTGGGCTCGCCAGACAGACAGAGAGAGACAGACAGCAGGAAATCACCTCCCAGGGGGGATGGCCACGCCACAATCCCTTCTCCTCCATTCCCCTCTCAGGATCTTGGGTACGCACACACGCGTGCCCGGCGTGAGTTTAAGCCCCCGGGTCCGGGACTCGAACCGCTGTCGACTACGTGGGAGCCCAGCGACATAGCCGTTACACTAACTGCTGGTCCCCGGTGTCTAGCTTTTCTTTTCTTTCTTGCTTTGTTTTTTTTTTGTGAAGAGGTGTTTGCTATAGGGCGCGTGGGCTCGCCAGACAGACAGAGAGAGACAGACAGCAGGAAATCACCTCCCAGGGGGGATGGCCACGCCACAATCCCTTCTCCTCCATTCCCCTCTCAGGATCTTGGGTACGCACACACGCGTGCCCGGCGTGAGTTTAAGCCCCCGGGTCCGGGACTCGAACCGCTGTCGACTACGTGGGAGCCCAGCGACATAGCCGTTACACTAACTGCTGGTCCCCGGTGTCTAGCTTTTCTTTTCTTTCTTGCTTTGTTTTTTTTTTGTGAAGAGGTGTTTGCTATAGGGCGCGTGGGCTCGCCAGACAGACAGAGAGAGACAGACAGCAGGAAATCACCTCCCAGGGGGGATGGCCACGCCACAATCCCTTCTCCTCCATTCCCCTCTCAGGATCTTGGGTACGCACACACGCGTGCCCGGCGTGAGTTTAAGCCCCCGGGTCCGGGACTCGAACCGCTGTCGACTACGTGGGAGCCCAGCGACATAGCCGTTACACTAACTGCTGGTCCCCGGTGTCTAGCTTTTCTTAAAACATGGAACTCAGCCCCCAGACCTCAGTCACCAGCAAATGCTGCGTGGCCACTACCCATGAGAAACTGATGGGTGCCGTGTAACCTCCTGCCTGTGGAGGCTCCTAAGCCTGATCCTGTCCTTAGTTTTCTGGTCACCAGGTGCTCAGCTGGCCAGCAAGGGCAGAGGTCAGGCTTTCCAGGCAACTTGGTCAGCTCTGTTGTCCCTGTCTATGTCCTTAGGAAGTGCTGCTGGTCTCACAAGTACAAGGGACCTGTCTTAGTGAAGCCCCTTCCCACGGCATTTGAGAGAGGATGAGGGTAGGGAGCTGCAGCCCACCTACAGGGTGTGCCAGACACTGTCCTTGGCCCCAGGAGGTCCCTGAGCTGTTGGGGGGCAGCAGCAACAAAGGAGGCTTGTTCAGAGCGGCTGTGACCTGGGTGGGCCGCCACCGCCGGAGGCCGGGGGCCAGAGACACCTGCAGCAATGCCTTTGGGGTGCCTGGTGGAGGGAGGAGGCAGGCTTCACGTGCAGCCAGGGCCTCCTGCTGCCTCCCGGGGACGAGGTGGATGCCTGGTCTCAGGATTTCCAAGTTCTAAGAGGGCTTTTCCAGACACTATGGAGCATGGCCTCGAGAGCCGCTTTGCTGGCTGTTTCTGAGACGGAGCGGATGTGGTCAGGCCTGGGCGAGGGACACCCGCTCCTGCTCAGGCTGTCATTTAGTCTCCACTGGTTCCCACACAGCACAGCCCGGGCATCCTGGGCTCTGCATGACATGGTTCCATGGGTATGTCCCAGGTGACAGATAAGTGACGAGTCCACAAAAGTGACGATACCATGTCCCAGCTCAGGTGCCAGCACGTGCGCACTGGGGACTGGGCGGGCAGCTACCTTGGGGAAAATGTGTGGGATCTACGATAGCCTCCCAGCAGTAAGCGTAGGGCTCCACTAGTGTAAGAAAGGAGCCGTCAGGACCCAGCAGGAGCCCCGGCACCTCCCAGCTCCTCGCTCCCTGAAGGTGCCATTCCAGAGGGCAGGTCATCATATCCAGGTGCCTCTGTGTGCTTCTGCCTCTTGGTTGGGTGTCTCTGGCTGTGGGCACCTTCTCAGTGCCCTACCCTCTGGATGGCCTCATCTGTGAAGTGGGGCTGGGCCATGCCTCAGGAGGGGAGAGCGAGGTGATGCTGGACCTTGCCCTTACCATGTGGCTGTTCTGTATCCAGGGAGCCTTCACCTGCATACACCCCTTGGGACTAACTCTTGGCGTGAAGCCACAGCAAGGGCCAGGCATACAGGCCACAGACACACAAGTAGCTCAATGCCTAGGGCCCCCAACTGCCATCCCTCAGGTGCTTCTCAGTCTTCCTTCTGTGTGGCCCCTACTCAGCTCACCCCAGACCTAGGGGCCTGCCCTGTCCCTCTCCCTTTCTGGTGCCCCAGCAGACTGCACAGTCGATTCTTAGAAAGGGTATTCGGTGGCCACTCAGTGCTCACTGGGTGGAACAGGAGCTTGGAGCTCTGTGCCCGCGGGGCCCATGCCCTGTGGTGTCACTGTGCTCTGAGAAAGACGCTATTGCACTGAGGATGAGGAAGCCTAGAGGCCACGCCACCCCATGGGCTACAGTTTTCAGGGATGCAGAGGAATGTGGCCATAGAAAAGAGCCGTCAACACAGACTCAGGCTGCTGGTTTCCCAGGAGGGCTGGGATTCAGGAAGGTTTGGGCCACTTGGAAGGCCACAGGCAAAGTGACCTTGAGGCTGCTGGGCTGCATCAGGCACAGCGGGGAAGAGCTGGGCCAGGTTAGAGGGACAGGCTGTGCAGGGGGAAGGGGCCGAGAGTGAGCTGCTAGGCCTGAGTGGGAGAGGAACCAGCCGAGGGCCTGTCAGAGATCTGCCGGGCTGGAAGAGGGGATTGGGGCTGGGGAGGGGGAGGTGGCTGCTGCACTGTCCAGGCAAGAGGTGAGGTGGCCTGGGCCAAGTGATGGCCATGGAGGTGTGGGAAGCTGAAAGGCAGGACTTTGGGGGCTGAGTTGACAGGTTCTTCATGGGTGAGGTATGGCAGGGAGGGCGGAAATGGACCAAGGAAATGCCACCTAGCAGGGAAGAAGGCGATGGCAGGGGAGGAGTGGGTTGTCCTTGAAGCCCATGATGCTGCCTCCTGCAGGAAGGAGGATGGGAGGGCGGGAAGGACCTGCTGGCTCTCAGGGAAGATTGCTGCAGGGAGAGAGGTCCCTTGCATCCAGAGTCACTAAGGCCAGTGCAGCCTACAGGAGTCTATGGGGCTCCCCTGCATGAATGACCCTGTACCGCTTATCCCTGTGGACCGCAGCCCTCGTCTTCTGCTTCAGGAGGGCAGGTCTATCCCCAGCACCAGCTGGTGGCCCCTGCTTGTGGCTCTGCAGCCCCTTCTAGATAGGCATACAGACCCCTTCCAGAGCCACAGCAGCAACAGGCCAGGGTCAGACCTGCAGGCCCTAGAAGGCCATGGTGAAGATTCTGGCCTTAATCACTAGAGAAATCAGCCTGGACAGTGACCTGATGTGGATTGATAGTGGAGGAGTTGGCGTGGTTCAGATAATGGGACTGGTCTCCGGCCCACAGGCCAAGAGTTTGTCCTCGGGGCTGAGGTCTCTGCCTCGCTCTCTGTGCACTCACCCTGTTTTCCTGAATCATGTGTGAGAAACTGCAGGCATTGTGCCACTTTACTGCTAAATACCTCAGCATGTCATTTTGTAAGAACAGAGAGATCCTTCCACATGTTCACAGTATCGTCCTCAGGCGTGGTACACTGAGCGTGAGTACAGTGCTGTTTCCGTGTGTACGCATGCTCGCGCTTCCCCAGAGGCTGTTCTTCATTATTTATTATGCTATGCATTCAGTTTCCATATCTCAGCAGTGCCCTTTAGGCTACAAGAGTGTCCACTTTTCTTGGGCAGGGACAGGGTCTATGGTCATTGACTTTTTCAAGTCATAGTCAAATATATGTAACATTAAATTGATTGTTTAAGGGTATAATTCAGTGGCATTAAATACTCACAATGTTGTGTAACCACCCATCCACCTCCAAATTTATATATATATATATATGTGTGTGTGTGTGTGTGTGTGTGTGTGTATATATATATTTCTTTTTGGAAAAAATTATTTTTGGAGCTTATAAATAGATAAATTCCAAAACAGTAGCAATGCAAAATATTTAACAATATTTTAATATTTCTATTTACTCAACAGTCCACTTTTATGTTTTGCTTTCTACAAACAAATACACTGCAGTAAAGCAACAACATTCTTCGTTCCAAGTTCAGTGCCTGAGAATTTTAATAATCAATTTTGAGCATACAAAAGCAAAGGCAATTAATTTTCTTGAACACTTTTCTCCATTCAGACTTTAGCAATTACTTCACATTGTTCTGTGACAGATGATAATCAAATGGCCTATTTAAGTAGCTAAAAAAATCATAAAATCATTTTAAGCCTGATCAATAGAATGTTTAAACTTAATATAAAACAATACCAAACATACGTGCACTGGGACCTACTAATATGTGAAATTTTATTTTATTAAAGAATGAGATCTTTGGGCAGAGAGGGAAAAGAAGTTATATCATCCAAACTTATTAGAAAGGCTGTAGGTAAAGGAAATTGGCCTACAGTTCTAAAAATTCTGTGTGGTCCTGTCTAGCTACTGTTGCTAGCTTCCTGTTGCTTATTCATTTTTAATTTAAGGCTTTTTAAAAATTAATCATATTTTTAAATTTTGCTATAGGGCACATGCTCTTGTCGGAGAGAGACAGACAGAGAAGAAAAAGTGAGAAATCACCCTTTGGTGGGCATGGCTATGCCACAATCCCTTCTCCATCCTTCTTTTGGAATTTTATGTGCCTGGCATGATTTTCAAGCTGCTGGGTCTGAAACTCGAACCATACAGTCGGCCATGTGTGATCAAGCTACCTTAACCACCATGCCACAGGTATGCCTGTTTATTCATTTTTTATTTCCATATCTTATTTCCATAACCATTTCATCATATTTATTTTTAGATTTTATCCGATAATCGCAATATCTGAAGTCATAAGGAGATCGCGTTTTTCTGTTTCACTTTATCTTCTGCTCCTGTTATCTCTCATGGGAGGCTTTCCCATGAGTGTTTCGGTGATCTCGGATTGTGAGCTCGTGTTTGCTTGATGTTAATCTCTGGGACTTGTGGGCTCCTTTTAGCAGGACATTCTCTTCTATGGAGGGTATTTATGTTGCTTTCGTAGAGACAGCTGCTGACTTGGGGCCTCTTGAGCCTCTTCGGTTTGTGCAGGTATCCAGAGTTTCTTTTTGGAAAAAATTATTTTTGGAGCTTATAAATAGATAAATTCCAAAACAGTAGCAATGCAAAATATTTAACAATATTTTAATATTTCTATTTACTCAACAGTCCACTTTTATGTTTTGCTTTCTACAAACAAATACACTGCAGTAAAGCAACAACATTCTTCGTTCCAAGTTCAGTGCCTGAGAATTTTAATAATCAATTTTGAGCATACAAAAGCAAAGGCAATTAATTTTCTTGAACACTTTTCTCCATTCAGACTTTAGCAATTACTTCACATTGTTCTGTGACAGATGATAATCAAATGGCCTATTTAAGTAGCTAAAAAAATCATAAAATCATTTTAAGCCTGATCAATAGAATGTTTAAACTTAATATAAAACAATACCAAACATACGTGCACTGGGACCTACTAATATGTGAAATTTTATTTTATTAAAGAATGAGATCTTTGGGCAGAGAGGGAAAAGAAGTTATATCATCCAAACTTATTAGAAAGGCTGTAGGTAAAGGAAATTGGCCTACAGTTCTAAAAATTCTGTGTGGTCCTGTCTAGCTACTGTTGCTAGCTTCCTGTTGCTTATTCATTTTTAATTTAAGGCTTTTTAAAAATTAATCATATTTTTAAATTTTGCTATAGGGCACATGCTCTTGTCGGAGAGAGACAGACAGAGAAGAAAAAGTGAGAAATCACCCTTTGGTGGGCATGGCTATGCCACAATCCCTTCTCCATCCTTCTTTTGGAATTTTATGTGCCTGGCATGATTTTCAAGCTGCTGGGTCTGAAACTCGAACCATACAGTCGGCCATGTGTGATCAAGCTACCTTAACCACCATGCCACAGGTATGCCTGTTTATTCATTTTTTATTTCCATATCTTATTTCCATAACCATTTCATCATATTTATTTTTAGATTTTATCCGATAATCGCAATATCTGAAGTCATAAGGAGATCGCGTTTTTCTGTTTCACTTTATCTTCTGCTCCTGTTATCTCTCATGGGAGGCTTTCCCATGAGTGTTTCGGTGATCTCGGATTGTGAGCTCGTGTTTGCTTGATGTTAATCTCTGGGACTTGTGGGCTCCTTTTAGCAGGACATTCTCTTCTATGGAGGGTATTTATGTTGCTTTCGTAGAGACAGCTGCTGACTTGGGGCCTCTTGAGCCTCTTCGGTTTGTGCAGGTATCCAGAGCAGCCTCCCGATTGAGCTGAGAGCAGTGCTAGTTGCAGAGGCACCCCAGTTTTGTGTTGCTTAATCCTCACAGCTTTGGTTTCAGCCTCCAGGCTTTTGTTTTCCATGTTTTGCCCTTGGGGGTTTCCATTGCCTTCTGTGAGGACAGTTACACACTGTAGGTTGGCCATGCACAGGCTCTAGTTGTTTGGTGAGTGCAGGGGCAGGGAGAATTGGACAACCTTCATCTTATTGAGGCTCCAGGCGACTCATTGTGTGAACCTTCGCCTTGCTTAGCACATACACCCCTCCCTTATCCATTTGCTTTCCCTTCTGGAGCCAGAGTAACAATGCTGACACAGATCTCATTTGATTTACTCCCCTGGTTGGAACCCTTTGCTGCTTTTAAAACTCCAATTTATTCTTTTGTTTTCCTCTAGTTCCTCATGAGGAAAAATGAAATCACATAGACGATTATGCTTAATATTTTAAGCATAATACGTTAAATGAACGTAATATTGTGTGACTTTGAGTGTTTTTAGGTTGGAAAATGAGACGCTAATACCAGATAAAGACCAGCTAGACCAACCTACATTAAGAATAATTTGTGGCAGCACTTGCGTACCAGACTATGCTGGAAGCCACATAGGTGACTGCAGTGCAGACCTAGCCCAGCTGACCTGAAGCATATCAGGCCTGCGCATGTGTGCCCAGCATCCTGCTGAGCTGGGGGCCTGAAGGACCGCGGAGTGATCAGGCCTATTGAGGGTGCTTTTCTTGTTTGTCTGTCTCTCTTTCTCTTTCTTGTGCACATGCACATTCCAGAAAAGAATAAGCATTTTCAGCATTCTTCAAGCATGCTGCCGGGTTAGTGATGTTTATTGGTAAATTGCTTACCTGTCAGAAATTGCGTGTCACCTAAACAGAGACTTGTAGAGTTGTCAGAAAGACACAGTGATTCCGGCAGGCCTGGCTCCTGTGCTGGCTAACCATGTCTGCCTTTCTTTTTACTTTCTTTTTTGGGGGGAGAGTTTTTGCTATAGGGCACATGCACTCGCCAGAGAGACAGAGACAGAGAGACAGAAAGTGAGAAATCATCCCCGTGGGGCTGTGGCCGCACTGCGATCCGTTCTCCTCCATTCTCCTCTTGAGATCTTGGGCACGCACGCACATGCACCTGGTGTGAGTTTAAGTCACCGGGTCTGGGTCTCAAACTGTGGTAGACTACATGGGAGTCCAGCGACATAGCCATTACACCAATTGCTGGTCCCTGACCATGCTGGCTTTTTGCCTTGCATCAGGGGTCTCTCATAAACTGATGTGGGCCTCTTTCTGCATTTCTCCTTCTAGGGCTGCCTTCAGGGTATAGGACAGATGGACTCTCACTAAAGAGGAAAACATATTGCATGTAGTTTGGTCTTCTGTTTTCTTGTTCCTTAACGTCCTGGAGGTCACTTGCAGGTGCCGAGTGTCCTTGGTGCTGCCTGGGACCTCACCCCCAGCCACTGGCTGTACCCAGCACTCACGTGCTCAGTGGTAAGATGCAGGAGTGGGTCAGCTGTGAACACAGAGTAAATGAACCCAGTGCTGAGTGGTTCATGAGCTCTGGGTGGTATGTCGGTTTAGAAACCAAGAACACTTTCTTTTCTGTAGCCTGACTCTCGGGAGATACACACTGGAGTGTGCTGCTATCAGTAGAGGTTCAGGAATGTGTCCTGGGGAAGCGGAGACTGCTCAGATTTCAGGGCTTCTGGCTGAGAGCCAGGCTCATGGGCTGCATGCAGTGGCCCATTCCTATGGTGCTCACCACTCTTTTCCCAATTTTTCCCACAGAATTGAGTTTCATAGGCTTTCAGAAGAAAACGTTTTGTTGAAAACCAATCTGGAAAGGATTCAGCAAGAGCTTGCAGCTGCAGAAAGCACAAGTGATGCGCAGAGGTGAGGATGTGTCCCAGCGGTTCCCATCCAGACCTGCAGGTGCAGGGCACCTGCTGCTCGCTAGATGAGCTTGGAGGGTGTTGAGGTAAAAAGAGGGACGTTGCAGAGATCAGCCTTGCATTCCAGGAACCCTAAGTGGGTGACCTTGTGGGCTACTGAGCAGATTTGCCAGGCTGGGGGTGCTCTGACCTCCTTCCTTGGTGGGCAGCGACTCAGAAGTCTGAGGCAGAGAGCGGGCACACCACAGTGTAGTGCACACGTGGATCTCTCCAGCCCGCAGCCCACTGACCATGTACGGGAGGGCCGCACAGACACTTCTCATGCTCTAGGAATCCGCTGTGACAGTGAGGGGCTGGGGAGGTAGCGGGACACTTACTGATAAGAGGTGTTCCCGGCTCCTGCTGGACAGGTGGGATCTGGGAACGACCTCAGCTGTGCCTCTCTGCAAGGTTCATCGTGCGCTGTCACGATCCTGTCTCTCTCTCTTCCCCTCCCTTTGGGATTTTGGCTTACATGGGCATACACCAGCATGTGTCTCAGCCACTGGGTCTCACATCATGTGGTTGGTCACGTGGGATCTGGCTGTCTTAACCTAGGCTAGGGGCTGGCACTAAAGTTTTTTTATACTTAAAAGTTACTTGTTTCAAGGCTAGCTCAGTAGCATGGTGGCTAGGGCACTGGACTCCCACATGGCTGTCCGTGGTTCAAGGTCTGGACCTGGCAGCTTGCTTTTTCATTCTTCCTCCCTCTCTCTCTGTCTGTCTGTCTCTTGTAAGTCTGTGTGCCCTGTAGCAAATTTTAAAAAATAATAATAAATACAATTTTTTAAATTCTTTTAAAAAACTGCTTTTTGTGTTCTCTGCTAGGAGCCCTCAGGAGCCCTCTGAGAACAGACTCAGCAGATGTGATGCTGTTTTGGTCTGTGTTTTTGTTTCTGGGTGTGAACAGTTCCATGCTTTTGCAAAAGCAGTATTAGAGTGTGTGACTGAGGCGTGTCACGGAGCTGGTTGTGCTTGCATTCTGGCACCAGGTCACCTCTAAATGGCTGAATGACTTCATGTTCCACAGGTCCTGGCTTTGGTACCAGGATTGTCACTGTTGGCAGCCACAGCAGTGCAGCCATGGTACTGCAGGCTGCAGCGGGAGCCTGTCCTCTGGCTAGAGTCCAGCAGCTGAGGTTCTGGGGGGGGGAGGTGCCAGAAAAGAAGTCTATTGGTCAGCAATGACTTTGTTAATTTTGCTTCTTCAACAGGAAGGATATGGAGGTTTTGAAGAGAGACAAGGAAAAGGCCTGCTTTGACATGGAAGCGCTCAGCGAACAGGTTAAGTACTGATGCCTGGCAGCGAGCTGATGCCGCTTCTCCCTTTCTCATTTGCTTAAAATCATTCCAAATGCATAGAAATAAGTTGCTTTAGTCTGTTCTCCGTGGCATAGTAACTGGATACTTCAGCCTGGGTGATTTATGAGAATAGAGGTTTGGGTAGGAATAGAGGTTTAAGGCCAGCTCGTGGCATAGTGGTAAGGTGTCAGAATCCTACATGGCCGACTACACAGTTCGAAACCTGAACCCAGCTGCTTGAAAAACACACCAGGTGCATGTGGTTGCATGCCCAAAATCCTGAGAGGAGAGTAGAGAAGGGATTGTGGCATAGCCATCCCCTCTGGAGAGGGTCTTTCCTCACTTTGCCTCTCTCTCTCTCTGTCTCTCTCTCTCTCTTTTTGTCTCTCAAGCAAGCACACATGCCGTGTAGCAAATTTTAAAAAAGAGAGGTTTATGTGGGACCAGTTGATGGCATAATGGTTATGTTACTGGACTCCCATGTAGTTGCAATTCGAGTCCTAGACCCAGTGGTTTAAAATTCACATCGGGAGTGTGTGTGTGCATGCCCAAGATCCTGAGAGGAGAATGGAGGAGAAGGGATTATGGTGTGGCCACCTCCCCTGGGGGTGATTTCTCGCTTTCTGTCTCTCTGTCTCTCCAGTGAGTGCACCCTATAGCAAAAATCTCTCTCAAAAAACAAAAGAGGTTTATTCTCTCATGGTCTAGAGGCTCAAGGTCCAAGGGCTACATCCAGTGAGGGGCTTCTTGCTAGTAGGGACCTTCTATAGCACAGGGCATTACACGGAGTGCGAGTGAAGGGCTTACATGTGTGGAAGGGCTAGTGTGTGCGTGTGTCCACTGTTACACAGCTGATCATGGGGCCTCCCAATCACCTTAACCTTAATCGTGTCCCAAAGGCCCCACCTTTCTGTTTCTTTGCCGCCACAGGGTGTGTTTTTACCAGAGAGAGAGAAAGATGAGAGAGACCCCCCCAATGGGATGTGGTCACACTGCAATCCTTTATCTTCCATTTCTCTCTGTTGTCAGGACCTCTGGCACGTACTCACACATGCCCTGTGTTTTTCAACTGTCAGAGCTGGGACTCAGACTGCAGTCCTCCATATAGGGTCTGGCCCTCCTAACTGCTACACTACAGGGCAACCCAAGTTTTAAAACAATTTTATTCATGATTGTGTGTATACACATATGCATGTGTGTGCACTAGAGATGGAAAGGGAGGGAGAGGAGAGAGATTGAAGAGGCACCTTTGGCAGGGTCTCATCTGCCATGATCCCCTTTGCCTACTGGGAGGAGAAATTTTTTCTTAAAAAAGTTGAGACTGAGTTGTGCACGCATGTTTTTGCGTGGGAAACACAAAGCATTAGAAAGTACTTGACAGATAGCATGCTGGTCTCAGCAGGCATCTCCTGCCTTGCCATAGTCTCCGCTCAGGAGACTCGACGGGCCAGTGGGTGGCATGGCAGTAACACAGCACTCCTCAGTGCCACTCCCATGTGGGGAAGTCCCAGGTTCAGGTCCCAAGCTCTACTGTATGTACATGCTGGTGAATGTGCACCTGTCTGTCACCCTGGCTAGCTGGGCTAGGATTGCGCTGTGAAGACCCTGGTGGAGGTGTCTGTCTGTCTGTTTTCTCTCTCATAGAAAAGATAAATAAATTTTAATGTCATCCAACATCTAGACCATATTTACATTTCTCTGTTATTCAAAAATGTCTTAAACGGTGAATTTTCTGCAGTGTGATCCAGTTAAGACTGACGCACTGTTAACGACCAGTTCTGTTCCAGTATATTCAGTTTCCAAATGAATTTACTAGCCTGATGGCAGCTTACCAATGGCATGACACCTTGTGAGGCCAACACATGTGGGGCATCCAGGGTTCACATCCACGACCTCAGCGTGCATGCAGTCACATGTGCGTGCCCGTGATCTGGGCTGGCTGAGGGTGGATTGCAATGTGAAGACGATGTTGGGTGTGCCTGTCTCTTTCCATCTCTATTTCTCTGTCTCTTGCTCTCCTTTTCTCTCACTCATGAGATAATTTTTTTTTTCATTGCCAGAGGGTGCACACACTTGCCAGACAGAGATAAAGAGAGAGGAAGAAACAGCCCCGTGAGGCGTGGTCACACCACAGTCCTTTTCTCCATCCTTCAGGGTTTAGGGTGTACACACACATGTGCCCAGCATGTTCTTCAAGCTGCTAGGGCTGAGATTTGAACTGCAGTTGGCCATATGGGATCTGACTTCTCTTAACCACTAGGCTATGGTGCTGGCCCAGGAATAATTTTTTTAAATCAATTTGCTGGTATAAACCAACCACCTACTGTTGCACATGGGACCTGTGGGTCAGGAGTTCAGAAGGCACGGCTTGGATGGCCGTCCCTGCTCCACATCGGGCCTCAGCTGGTGTGACCTGCATGTCAGGGCTGCAGTTGCCCAGGCCGCCCCTGCTCAGCATGTTGACTTGACTGGGCCTCTCCTTGCTCTGGGACAGGGCTCCTGGAGGCAGTGTTGTGAGGGCGTCAGGGAGCAAGCATCCCAGGACGACCTGGTGGTAGGCGGCTGGCTGCTGACATCCACCCCCTCCACCCGAAGTCACTCCAGTTTGCTCCCCCGGGAGACATGGGCTGGGAGAGGGGTCCTTGTTCCTCCGATGATCAAGTGTCCAGGTCACACTGCAGAAGACGATTGAGACGGAGCGTGCTGCTGGGGACGTCTGTGGAAGCTGCAGTCCACCGCTTGTCTCTTCCATCTTTTTTATCTAGAATGCCTGATTTCTTCGGACACTTTTGGAGTTGATCAGGCAGTTGTCTCATGGGCCATTGCACATTCTGGATCCATCCAGCCGTTTGCTGAGAGTTAATTCAGCCTGGGGACCAGCAGATGGCGTGATGGCTGTGTCGCTGGTCTCCCACATAGTTGACTATGTTTCAAGTCCCGGAACCAACAGCTTAAAACTCATGCTGGGTGCGTGTGCGTGCACGCCCAAGATCCCAAGAGGAGAATGGAGGAGAAGGGATTGCAACATTGCCATCCCGCCGGGGTGGAGGGGGTGATTTCTTCCTTTCTGTCTCTCTCTCATTGGCAAGTGCGCATACCCTAAAGCAAAAACCTCTCTTAAAAAGAAAAAATAGAATTAATTCAGTCTGGTCCTGTGTCAGCTGTCTTGTAAGCCAGAAATTAGGCCTGAAGCCTTGATCAAATGCAGAGGAGACACTTTCAACATAAAACAAATACCCAAGCTCAAGAGGCGGCTGCTAACTTCCCATGTCAGCTTCTGCAGTAGCAGCCAGAAACTGCAGAGGTGGCCAATGTGAACGCCTGCACGGGCTGACGACATCTGTGCCTCCTGGTGCCACCCTGAGAAGACTCTGCATCACCTGCAGTGTGTGGCCGGGAACCATCCCGAGTTCCAGGAAGACTGACACCCCAGGCAAGGAGCTGTTCGGAGGGGAGCAGGAAGGCATTTCTCATGGGCACAACCGCGGAGCCCTCCCCATTCATGGGCGAAGAAGCAGCGTTTCAGACGGAGGCTGCGCCTGAGTCTGCCTGGGTGCCATGAGGGACATTGGTAATGCTAGGCAGCGACCAGACTGTAGCATGTGTGATGTCGAGGTCACTGTCCTAACACTGTGGAGCACGCAGCCAGGGAGGCCCTGTACTCAGCAGTACATGCTATAGGGCTGTGGAGGAGAGGAACCACTGTGTGTGTATGCACACGCGTGTATGTATGCACATGTGTGTGCAGCATTTGTATGCATTGTATGCATTCCCGTGTACCATGTATGTGTGTGCTGTGCATGCAAGTGCACAGGTGTCTGATGTGCGTGTGTGTGCATGTGTGGGTGTGGATCCAGGTGTACGTGTGTCCATGCACACACACAGGGCAAATGGCAACACGGACAGGGCAGAAGATGCTGTTACCGTGTCTTGTGAAGGGTACATAGATTTTCCTCATAACCTGCTATTCTAGTGACTATCCTGTAAGTTTGAAGTATTTCCAAACACAGAGTTTACACACTAAAGGTGAACAGAAGAAAATCAGCTGTTGAGTTTATCCTAGGAGTTGAAGGAGAGTTGTATACTTTAAATCAAGGTTGATGGTGATTATCAGGGACAAGATGAGTATGCATTGATATTGAAAGCAATTTGGGGCCAGGTGTGGCATGGCGATGAAGCCGACTGGCCCCACATGATTGTGCGGTTCAAGTCCCTGGCCCAGCGGCTGGAAAAACATACTGAGTGCATGTACATGCATTCCCAAAATCCTGACCTGAAAGGAAAGAGAAATGGAAGAGAAGGAACTGTGGCATGGCCATCCCCATGGTGGTTGCTTCCTCACTTTCCCTCTGTCTCTGTCTCCAATGAATGCACAAACCCTATAGCAAATCAAAAAAAGAATAAAAAAAAAGGAGTTGCCGTTTTGCACAGTAAAGTGTGGCATACATGAGAGGCTCACAGCAGATGTGACTACCCCCGCCTGTGCCTAGACAGAGATATCTCTTCTCCCTCAGTCCCGAGGTTCTGCAGGGTGGAGGGAGGTGAGGATTAATGAACAGAGAAGAACATGAGAAATCATGAGAAAAACATGAAGACTTGTTCACTTTGAAGGAATTCAACAATGATATCCAGTCACTACACGCTATGAGACCACAGACCAACGGAAGCGCTCCCTAGCGCCAGCAGGGAAGCACGTGTGCGTGGAAGTACCGCGTGCAGGGAAGCACCGCATGCAGGGAAGCACGTGTGCGTGGAAGTACCGAGTACAGGGAAGCACCGCGTGCAGGGAAGTATGTGCACGGTGTATGGAAGCACCGCGTGCAGGGAAGCACCATGTGCATTGTAGTAAGTGCTCTGTGGTCCTGGGAACACCCCAGGGAATAGCTTCAGGTGCTGCTGACACCCCTCCCCTGAGAGCCGAGGGCTCCAGGACAAGGCGAAAACAAACGTGATTTGCCTGAAGCTGTCCATGACACATCATGGGAGACAGCGGGGATTCCCACAAGGGGACTGTGGGTCCAGCTTGCCAGCTGCTGTGTCCACCTGGTGCCTCTGCACTGCCCTAGGAGCACTCGCTGAGCATCCACTCCACTGGGCCGAGGCTCCCAAGGAAAGTAAGACACGCTCACACCCTGCCCAGAGCTGTATTTGAACGTTCAGTGACAAAGATCCAAGGAAACTATGAAGAGATTCATGAACCTCCAGTCTAATGGGATTGTTTTTTTCTTAGAATTGCTCAAGGTATGCTAGACTCACCTGTGGGGTGACGAATAGACCGTGCAAGGTCTCGGGACCATGGTCCAGGTTTGAGGCATGTGCCCTGCTGGTAGCCAGGGGTGCCTTCCTTCCTCAGCAGTGCAGCAGGGTTTCTGGCCCTGGAGCCCTGGTCCCGGAGGCTTGCGGGACCAGCTCCCCCTGTGTTCCATGACGTCCAGTGCCTCCACCCACTTGATGCCAGGAGCTCCTCCCCCCATTTTGACACGCCAGAATGTCTCCTGACCTGGCTACATGGCATCCCCTGGGGAGAAGCGTCGTTCCCATGGAGAGCCACTGCAGGGATCCAGCTGGCACTGCTGGTGGAAACATGTTTTTAATCTGTGTTTTAACTCTTTCTGCTCTAGAACCAGAAATACAAGGAGGAGTTGTCCCAGCTCAACCACAGGGTCCTTCAGTTGGGAGAGGAGGCTTCTGCCCACCAGGCCCAAAATGAGAAGAATCATGAGACCATTCAGCTGTTAACACAGGACCTGGAGGAGGCCGGGTGCCGGCAGGAGCAGCAGGTGGGTGGGCCATGAGCAGCTCCCTCGGCTCTGCAGGCACGGGGCACTGGGGAGGCAGAGAAACAGCTGAGATTAAGACGAGCCTTGAAGCACCTGGAGTGAGTGGCATACAAGCCCTGAGAATTAGGTAGACTTGGGCAGCTTCGGCAAATCCCCGGGATCTAGACAAGGAGCAGAGAAGAATGAAATGCTGATGACAGGAGAGCAAATGGGGACACCCTCCCCAGAGGGCAGTCCAGCAAATACACACCAGGAGCCGCAAAAATGTTGTGTACTTTGACATTTTAATTCTGCTTATGGGAATTTAACCCAAGAGCGTTGCAGAGGGATTTGGCTGGAGTACGTTCATTGCTGTGCCATTTATAATAGCAAAACAGAATTGGAATCAGCTGGAATCCACAGCAGGCAAACGAGTCCATAAATTATGGTGCGGCCGTTGGAATCCATGTTTCCAGATAACAGTTTAAGTCATGGGGAAATGCTTACATGGCAGCTGGGGGCAGAGCGCATACGCTGGTGCCATCTCAGCAGTGGGGCGCATGGGCAGACAGAGGGTGGAGGAATTCCAGCAGAATGTTGGGTGTGGGCCTTAGGCTTGTGGGGGCGTGGAGGCATTGAAATGTTATCATTTTCCTTTAAATTTTCTGAAGTGTCTGCATTAGATCCGTATCTCTTGCATTTTCAAAATTGATGTTTTAAAACAGAGCGACCAAATCCAGAAACTTGAAGTCGAACTTGAACGCCTGAATCAGGAATGTCGGAGCCTGAGACTGTCCAAGTCAGAGTTAACACAGACCCTTGAAGAGAGTCGAGACCAGGTGGGTGTGCGTACAGCTGCAAGCACTGGGTCAGGGAGACGCTGACAGCATTGCCAGGCCTAGTCCTGCCCAGAGTGGTACGTGAGCTGGCCTAGGTCACATAGCTCTGCCCAGGTCCAGGGCCCAGGGTTGGTTTGCTATTGCAAAACACAGGAGGAGCCATGCCCCCGTTTACTCACCAGGGAAGCAGGACAGGCGCTATGCTTTGGATAGGTCCTTGGTAGAGCGGACAAAGGAAACCATGCAGACCGCATCAGCACCAAGGCCACGGTCAGGAGGGCCTGTGGCCCACACGCACTGTGCACGCCTCATACTCACATGTGCTCGCTCACATGTGTGCAGAGACACCCTGTATGTTACACCTGCTGGTTCCAAAGCAAAAGGCCTGGGAGGGGCGGGATGGTGGTGCAGGGTGGTGTCCCACTCTGTGAGCTGACCTGCATGGGAAGGTTCCAGGTTCTGAAGGTCTCCAGCTGCTCATGATCCAGGGCTGGCTGAGGCTGGGGGGAATATATGTATTAAAAAAAAAAGAAAAATCTGTTGGGGGTGCCCCTCTCTCTCTGTCTTTCCCAAGCTCATGAAAGAGATAGACTTTTTTTTTAAAAAAAAAAAGAGAGAAAGAGAGAGAAATGCTGTTTCCCAAGCTAATGGAAGAGATAGACTTTTTTTTTAAAAAAAAAAGAGAGAAAGAGAGAGAAATGCTCCGGAGATGCAAATCAGGCAGGCTGGGCCGAGTGGCCAGGGGATACCACAGCTGCCAGAGGGGGCCTGCCCAGCACATCCCGGAAGCCACCTTGCAGCCATGTCAGCTGGCTTGCCTTCTTTGTGACATGGAGCAACGCCCCCCAAAGTGCCTTGCTGTGACTCAGTATAAGGGAAGTGGAGCGCTTGTTTCTGGGGTCACCAGGGAACTTCCTGGTGAGGAGAAGGTGTGTCTGAGGCTAAGTGGGAAGTTGCCACATGGTCACTGTCATGCCTGCTCATGGTCTGGAGAAGGAAGGCCCAGGAGGTCACTAGGCAGGGCTGGTGGACAGGTGCTAGCAGGCAGCCCCCAGCCAGGGCTTCGTAGCAAGCTCAGCGGCAGGGTGAGCACAGAGTGGCTCCCTGGTTACCTATGGTAGCAGAGCAGACCACCCTGGACGCAAGTGCCCTCTGTCGTCCTGCCTGGAGCTTCTGTAGGCTGGCTGGGCTCAGCCGGGTCCCTCTCCCCTTGGCCCCACTTGGGGCTCTCTGGGGGCTCCTCTGGCTGGTGTCCAGGACACTTGCTTCCATGGTTGGCCTGTGGCATTTTGCTAGTGGCTCAGAACCCAGAGATACTGCC